GGATGGGTTATTTTCAAGTTGTTTGGTGTCAAAACTGCTTAAAGTCACCCAACTGAAGTATCACATAATGGACGTAAGCAATAGGCAGACATTATGCACTGAGGTCAGGGAAATCCCAGAGAAATGTATAAAAGATCTAAAGCTAGTCTTACAAAGAGGTTATATGGGTGTCCTTTGGAAGCTGAAGATGTCAGCCTCACATAATCCATGGCTTTTGCAATGTCAAACTTGATTGGAGTGTGGAATTAGTTTGGACCCTGTTTAGTTTCTTCTGGAGATCGGGTGGCATGCATCATTTGTATAGTGGCCATGTGCTTATGTCTTTTTGACTTTTGGCAAAATGGGAGGTAATATTCACATAGAACACTAAGTGTCAGTCACAGTGACTTGAATGTTTGTTTTCTTTTCAAGGAGATTTTCCTCCTTCCATGTGTAAGAGGCAAAATCATGTGGAGAAACGTTGCCTCCATAATCTGTGAACATCTTGTTGTGATCATGAGTTTAACAGCTTGTTGACATAATATTTGCACACAATTGACATTTTACTGGGTTGAATTCACAAAGCTGCCTAAAGATGATTATTGATATATATTAAATTAAGAAAGAGCAAATTCATGGAAAAGAATGTTCTGTAGAAAATAGTGATACAGCTATACTTTTATTAATTACTGTACTGATCACATCAATCACCTGATATAAATTACACCAATCAGCCAGAACATTAAAACCCACTGGCAGGTGAAGTGAGTAACATCGATTATCTCATTTCAATGGCACCTTAGGCCAGTGAACAGTCAGTTCTTGAAGTTGTTGGAAGCAGTAAAAATGGGCTTGTACTGTATAAGGATCTGAGGGACTTTGACAAGGGCCAAACTGTGATGGCTAGACGACTGGGTCAGAACATCTCCAAGGTATGCAGTGGTCAGTACCCACCAAAAGTGGTCCAAGGAAAGCCAACTGGTGAACTGGAAACGGGGTCATGGGTGCCCAAGGCTCACTGATTGCATGGGGAGCGAAGGCTAGCCTGTGTGGTTCTATCCCACAGGATACTGTAGCACAAACTGCTGAAAAAGTTTTGCTGTCTATTCTAGAATGGTGCCAGAACACACACTGCAGCTGACTGTGTATGGGGCTGCAGAGCCACAGGCTGCTCAAAGGTAGCTTTAATGTTAATGTCTGATAAGTAGACATATGCAGTCATGCATTACTACATTAGATACAATTCCTACTATACTTATAATGTTTAAAAAAAAAAACATTTTCCACTTTAATAAAATATTACAGTAATTTCCGCATTCTGTTAACCTTAAGTACCTTTGTCTGAACTCAGAGTTAACAACTTGCTGTCATAATGTTTATATATAATAGATATTAACAAGTGCCATATATTTTTATGGGAATTATGGCCTACTGCCATCTATTTCCAGAAGTAACACAATACGTCGAGACGTCAAACCTCAGTCTACCGACGCTTGCCAGACGAAATTCCACAATTGGAGCTTATTTTCAGGTTAACAACTGCCATGTTGCTGAATGTAAAACCGCCTAACATGTTCAGGTCTTCTATCAGCTGACCACCAGGCTATTATCACTTAGCCACATCCATCATATATTTATATAATAGCCTTTCTGTTCCTACTTTTGCTGCGCTGTAGATGTACTTTAAGAAGTACAGCAGGCCAGATTCTGTGTTAGCTTCCAGTAGTTAAATTTGCACATGCTTTGTTCTGTAAGAATGATTGGGGATTCACTGTCGCCTGCCAGCCTGGCAGTGTTTAAGTACTGGGGTGTTATGACCGCGAGTGCGACAAGCAGGCAGGACGCGGGGAATGATCAGGCAGGTCGAGACGATGATCACAGGAACGGGTTTATTCGAGGTGGACAGGACAACACGGTAACATACATTAATGACAGATCTGGGGAAACTAACTCAGACGCGGACTAAATACACAGGATAGGCAGAAAACAACAGGCAACAGGTGATGACAATCGGGAAGTAACACGAGGTAACGAGGGGGGCGTGGCACACATGAGGCTCGGACGAGCCGGACGTGACATGGGGGGTGGCCTTGGCATGCGACTCAGTGGGTTAGACCTGTGTGACCGTGATCAGATGTTCACCAGTTCAAATCCTGTCCTCGGCCGAATAGTCAAATCTCTGTTGGGCCTGTGAGCAAAGTTCTTAACACCCTGGAAAAATGCACCCGGGTAAATGTCTGACCTTCTCAGACCTCCAGCTTCCCTCTCACATGTGTGTATATCACTAAAAAACGAAGGGAGGCATGATGGGAAAAGCAAGAGCTGAAACACTCCAATGTTCTTACAGCAAGTAAAGCACCATTTTCTTTCACAATAACATTCTGCCTCTTTAAAAATTAACTCTCATCTATATGTTACCGTTCTCCTTTGTAGTTTCCATAGCAGAACATTTTAAATCGGTTTACATATGAGTTACAGTATTATACCCCATGGTCAGCTCCAAAACAATTAACATGCGAAACACTGAATGATTTACAACAATATAAAATCATGCAACTTAGTACCCGCCACCCCAATTAAATGCTCCATACTACGGTAACAACTACAGTACATGTTGTCATCCAGTGTCGCATCATAAGGTAAGGGGACGTAGGGCTTCCTTTTCATGTTTGAAGTCCTGGGTTCAATCAACAGCATCTACATTGTGGTGTGACACACAGCCTGAGTGTTTGTGTCACCCCCTGCATTCCTGCCCTCTCGGTCCCTCCCTAGTGTCGCTCTCAACTCCGGGGGGGTGTACGGATGCACCGCCGCCCCCATCCCACCCTTGACGTCGCCCTAGCGTGCGCTCCAGTGCTTCCCTAGCTGCCAGTTACACCTTTTGTTTGTCCCCACCTGGTCCACTTTGGTTTGCCCTGTTCCCAGTCCTTGAATAAGAATCTGCCTCCGTCGTTTCCGCATCGTGACAGTTTGCCGTTCAGTTGACTCTTAAGAATTCCCCCCCTGGGTTGAATAAAGCTCATCTTATCTTAAAAACTATATTAGAATATATTCAAATCTGATTTAGTACACCGCTGTTTTGGATTTCACAATGTGCTTTACAGTATTTCATATTTTCTGTGGGATTTTAAACAAAATCCATCTATCCATCTAGCCTTGATATTGTTTACCCTATGCAGGGCTTTGGTGAGCCAGAAGCCAATGTGGGGCACGACGTGTGGGAACACCCCAGACTACATGCCGACCACACACACAATGAGAAATTTAGAGACTCCATTTCGCCTGACCGCATGTTTTTAGACGTTTTATTGGAGTACGTGCAGAAACCCATATAGATACAGGGAAAGCAGATTCCAGGGGTGAGAGGCTGCAATACTGGCACGTTCTGCCCAGGAAAAACACACAAATTAAAAACCAAAATGCCATTATTATGAAGATTTTTCTCTCACCTTTCAAAAAAGTCATTTGAAAAGTAATCCTGGAAAACAGAAGCTATTGAATATACAAAAAACAAAAGCAACCATTCGATTCCTTTGCCAGCTTGCACTGCATTTTTAACTGTATGTTTCCGTCTTATGTCCATGTCTTAATACGTCAAATTTAAACATCTTTACCTATTTATTTCCTACTCAGTTTCTTACCGTCTCTTTGTAATGTGATCAACACGATCAAAATTTCATCTGTGTATGACCCATGCATCATATAGCTGAAGATGACATTAAATATACTTTGACTTTTGACTTTGTATAGTGTATGAAAGTGTCTTGAGGATGGAAAACAGAGAACGAGTAGAAAACGATCATGGTCTGGCAATCTCGGGGTTGTGGGCCGAGGCAGACGGCTGAGTCAGTGCGTGCCAAAGCGTAGGTGTGTTCTCAAGGTGCTGTTGTAGGCTGAGCATCTGGCTGGAGCTGATGATCTTTCAGCTCAGGACCAAGTGGCCCCAAGGGGAGAGCAGAAGGGAAGAGTGGAATAAGGCCCAGATACTCTTAAATAGCGAGGTTGTTAAGTTCAGTACAGAAAAGTCCCAATGATGAAATTTATATACTTGTTAATTTGCCATTTATACACGGTACATGGGAATTTCCTGGCTTTCAAGTATCCCCTTTTGCTCTCCATAGGGGCTTTCACACTGCAGGAAATTTTTTTCAGGAACCAGGAACTTTTGTCGAGTTCACACCACAGGAACTCGGCCTGATTGTAGTTCTGCAGCAATTCCGGAACCATTTTTTAGTCCCTACTCCGGACTAGGTACTTTTTGTTTGAAGAGAAATTACGGGAGAGGGAGGTGCACACAGTGATAGTTTGCTTATTGGTTGACCACATTGGATGGAAGTTATGCGTAAGTGCGGAGAAGAGATATAATTAGCTGAGCAAAATTTGAGCAGATGGAGTCATTTTTTGTACCTCAGTTACAATTAAAGTATCAATGAATACATTTTTTTGCTTGCGTCTCCGTATTTCTGTATTGGAAAATTCAGTAACCGTCTAAAATATTGTCGGGGCCAGCAGTGAAATTGCCAGCGCTTATTAGCGAAATGTTGTTTTTTATTCTGTGAATGTGAAAGATCAATCTGCTGGCCAGATTTAATAATGAAATATAAACATGTTGCAGGTCGTATGAATAAAATATAAATAAAAGGCTTTGCCTCATTTTGATTGCAAATGATCCCCCCTAATAATTAAGAAATAAGTGACAAATAACTTCACAACACTTGTTCATTCTCCATTGCTTTGGGGTGGTGGTGTAGTTTTATATGGAATTATGTATGAAGTTTAACCTATGACCTTTTGGCATCTCCCATGCTCATTTAGCATAAAGGTCCCAGTTCTGTTGTGCAGTGTGAAAGTGACACGAAAGTGGCCAGGAACTACAAAAGTCGAGGCAGTTCAAGAACTTGTAACCAGGGACCAGGTTCCGGAACTTTGGTATGAAAGTGCTTCATGAAAGAAACAGCTCTGGGGCCAGAATGTCCCCCAGCACCCCAGGATTAGCACCTCGGGAGTCAAGCACAGGTCCTAACCTGCTAACCTGCTGCACAGTGCCCCCCCCCCCCCCACTGAACGTGACAGTATTATCATAATGTAGAGACGATGGGCAGTGGGTATCCTGAGACTGGGTTACTGCGTGGAAGGGCTCATTTTTTCTTCTATTCATCCTCCAGAACTACTTATCTCCGGGTCCTTGAGAGCCACACGCCTATCCCAGGAGGAACAGAGCACAAAGTCACCCCGCCATCTGGATGGACTGTCTTATCATTTTATTATTATTACTTTGATATATCTAAGAAAATGTAAATTAGCTGTTCCCATCGGACACAGCTGTCCTTTGGCCTGTCCAGCTGTTTTGGGGTAATTTAAAGGGCAAAATAACCAGCAACAAATGATAAAAGATGATCAGGTGTGTCGTCATGTCAGAATGGCCGCCTCATCCAAGACAGCCACCCTACTCATTCTCCCAGAGAAGGTAATCTGGAATCTGGTAGCATCTGCTAATGTCTAACATTCATAAGTCCTCTTCCTGACAAAGTGAACCTAAGTGTGCAGAGTTGCAGAGAAGTGCTTTAATGCTGAATGTGATGCATTTATTGATCATGCACATATAATTACCGAGATTACACAGATCACTGGCTGTGAAAACAACGCCTTTCACTGAGACCAAATTAATCACTGAATGTTCCAGACCATTACAACTGCTGCTAGCTGTGTCTAACTGGCTTATTACAGTGTACTTTGTTTTGTGACGTTTCAGCAAAGAAATATTTTAATAGTTATTATTACAAGTCCATTGTGCTGCGATGGGTTGGCTGTCCTGTCCTGGGTTGTTCTCTGCCTTGTATATGTAGGTTCCAGGAAAGGCTCCGGATTACCGCAACCCTGTAGAGAACAAGTGAATATAATGGATGGATAGATGGATGGATGGATGAATGAATGAGTCCACCAATTTCTTATAGACATTAATAATGATCAGTGGAGTAGACCATGTGCTTACTTGCTAATTATTGTTGCTCCACCATCTGGCTAGAATTAGAATTTATAGTTAATTGGCTGTATAACAGTTCACATATCTTGAGATTTATATCCCAAACACACAAATTTTATAGCACAAATTTCTGGTATGTGCTATGAAGTCGTAAGGTACCATATGACCTTCAATAACAATTAAAAGTTAAACCAATAGCTTAAAACTCTATAAAGAGGAACAAAAAAACCCCCAAAAACATTCACTAGATCTTTGTAAGACCATTGAATTACAGCTCTTGAGAAACTTGCTCCGAGCAGAGGACAGCAAATGGAACCATGCGAATCACGGATGAGACGCACGGGTAAGGATTTTATTTGTGGATGGGGATGGAAATGAGATTAATAAAAACAGGGGGGGGGGGAGACGAACAGAAAAAAAGGCAGCCGTTTCAGCATCACAGACAAGGGGAAATCTACACAGTTAAACAAGAGGGGCACTGGTCAGGGGAAGGGGAACGGCCACTGGAGTCTGGCTGTGTTTTCTGCACTAGGACAGTTCAGTTACGGGCTTTTAGTCACAGGTGAAGTGAACCAACGCGCCGCTCACCTGACTTCACCCCTTCCGTTCACTCCCACCCATCTTGCGGCTATTTCATTGTATCCTTCCGACGTCGACCGCATACGTACTGTACTAATGATGCTTAATCCCCTTCCGTTATTGTTTTTTAGCTCCGAGCTACTTTTCTGCTTTGTGGGACAATGTGGAAATTATTATGGGCCTGAAACCAAGCGGGAGATTTCCCAGATTAAAGATTAAACGGGCAGTGCGTCATGTTAATTATCATTGGGTCTCAGACTTCAGTAATTATTCCACTGCACATATTATACAAGTACAGCATCCTAATAAATCTGATTTTTTACTCGAAACAGATGTTATCTGGGGGGAGGTGGGATGTGGGGGGGGGGGGGGGGGGTGGGGGGGGGGGGGGGGGGGGGGGG